AAGCTGTATCTTTCCCGTGTGAATCTTAATATATCTCCGCGGAAATATCTAATATTTTAGCAGGAATTAACAGCTAACGAGTTGTCCAATAGATAGATCGCAATTAATTACTGTACACGGGTGCTCGATCGCGAAAACAATGACACGCGTAGCCTCTCTAAACATACTGATTGATCGTCCGTCGTCACGAAGAAGAGGAAACAGAACGGTACGATAATAGTCAGCGTTGACGATTGCAGCAGCATATACGTATCGCTATTGGCTGTCGATCGTCGCTGCTCGAATTATCATAGAGAGCAATTGCACCGAGGCTCGTGAATTTGTCCAAATAATTAACTGGAAACGGGATAAACATTTTTCCAAGCGAACCTTCTTGCTCGTAGATCATTTGTCGCTGATCGTTCGGTCGTTCGTTGAGAAAGTTGTTGGACAATTCGTTGACCGATACTCGACGACGCTTACTCTTGCAAAGTAATTAAACGAAAATATGTCGAGGGAGAATTGCGAAGGAGAAACTTGGAGTTTGATTACGAGTTCGGTTCCTCTCGCAGTTTGCCGAGAACTTTTCCAATCGATCGCAAAATCGAGCATCGGTACTCCCGGGAATACTGGCACGTCCAGGTGTTCGCCACACGTTTCTCCCTTTTATTAGTAGTCGGTTTGCGTTCGTGGTTGCAACGCGAATTCATCCAAGTTGCTAGGAGACGAAGTGGAAGCGGAAAAAGAAGCGGACGGAGAAAGCATAGTGGGTCGGTGGACGTCGGGCTGACTGGTGGGCAAGTTTGATCGGTGCTCGCGCCTCGAAAACAAAACAGTGATAAAGTCGGAGGGGCAGCTGGCTCGACGAAAGGTAGGGGTTTTGATCGCGGCACCCAGGAACGAAACGAACGAACGGACGAGCAGGGTAGACGAGGGTGCGGGGGTGGAACTGGCCGCTCGGCAAAGTGGATCGATGCCGCCGCGGCACGTCTGTGCGCGCAAACGTGCGCACGTGTGCGTACACCTGATACATGCATCATCGTCCACAAAGCCACGGAGATGCGTGGATCCGTTAATCGCCGATTCCTTCAGCTCTCATATAGAAAAACGCAACGCGCAATCTACGCGACTCACGACTTTGACGCGCGTGCAATTCCAATTCGACCGATACGAAACCCAACGAATCCAAGTGAAAGTCTCAAAGAGAAGAGACGCCGTTGTCACGGGAAAATTCTTTGATTAACCAAGGTTAATCGGTCGACGAGCGATACGAACGACAATTATTATCCGTTTTAGTCGAGTTTCTCGGTTGCCAGTCGTAACGGCAAGATCTCACGCGACGCACCGGTCATTCCGCGCCAAGTTAAACGAATTCTTTGTTGCGTAATCCACGTTATCAAAGCACGCTCTTCGCGTCCTCTCGGCGACCGTCGAACGCAGCAGAGGCAGCATCTCTCTTTTATTACTTTCATATTCGTTGGATTGATACGGTTTCATCGTCGAAGGAACGAATTTTCCGCACGTTCTTTCACATCTATCTCCTTGGTCCCATTGTTCCGAACGTTTTATGAAATGCTGTTCAGGGGACTGGTAGTTACTCGCAACGAGCTATTAATATTATTCACACTGCATAGATCTATGTGTTCTCGTGACATGTTTAAAAATCGTCGCGTCGTCGTCGTCGTTGAATCTAAGGCAATTTTTCATTGTTTTCTGTTGCAGCGAAACTGGAACTTAGTCAGAAGATGGCATGTAGCGGTACGAGAGTAACCGACGGAGGACATCTGTTCCTGATGTTGAGCCTGCTGCTAATCGGTACCCTGTTCAGTCATAGGATCGCGATTCAATCGGATGCGAACAGTGTGCCGGAGATGATCGACCCCAGGGGCTTCGTCTAGCTTCCGCAGTTAGCTCTTTGGATCGTTCTCGATCGTCCGGGAAGAGGCCAATGGAACGCGAATACGGACCAGCGAAACGATCGACGACCTTCTAAAGCGTGTAAACGAATCAATGGCATCGTTCGTTGATATCTCGAGGCGATTCGAAGCGAGACAGACACATATCAATGCAGCGGAGGGCGCTCGATCGACCCACTATACACGATCGTCTTGTCACCGGTTCGCTAGTGAGAAAGATCTTGTAGATCGAGAGACAAATCTACGTCGTCCCTTAGAGGAGGGGACGCGGCAGAAACTATACGCTAGACAAAGGACTCGAAGATTTCCTTGAATCGACGTAATCGATCACCGACGAGTGTCGTTTTATCGTTCTGCAATTTTAGTCGTTCCTCTATTCTCAGTCTTTCGAGAACGCGATCGACAAAGTCCTCGCGAATCGAGAACGCGACCGTGGTTGATATCGTTGGTGGAGTCGCAGTACATGGAGAAAATAGCAATCGTAAAGATATAACGTACGCGCCGAATCGAAAGTTACTACGCGTATCGCACGTTTCCAGGTACGGGACACGCGACGCGCGACACGCTCTCGGTCGAGCAAGACGCTTCTAGTTGTAAGAACGACGCCAACATCCTAAAACCATCAATTGGTCCCTCGTAAATCGTCTGACCTACTCCGACAGCGACTACTCACGCGACCAATGTAAAATCACGCTCGTACCGCGCTTTATTCCGCGTTTGCAATTTCACTCGGGTATCGCAAATTTATTCGTCTGTCTCGTAGTTGGTTCTTGAAACTTAGAATTTCCATGGGGATCAACGGGGAACGTAACGTAAGTACAGCGTAACGCGCCACTAATTTCATCGACCCGTTGCACCTGAGAGGAAAAAAAATACGCTACAAAATAGAATTTGATGGCAGGCAGACAGCGTACACGCTCTTCCCGTACGTTCTAGTTTTTGATTAACGCCACGGCAATATAGGTCACTGCATCGGTGCTTTTATTTTACAAGCGAGATCACCGCCGTGGACCTGCACGTTATCGCGAAACGCACTCGGCCCCTGGATGTTTAATCTACCCGCGACAGGATAATCCGCGCGCTATTCGCTGAAAATATCATCGCACAAACGATCGTTATCCTTTAGCTCAGCGAACTTTGTATCATCGTCGAACGATCGCATTCGCGCTGACGAAAATTTGTAGAAAAGTTGACGCGATGTCTGCGGATTTTCGGAAAGGCTAGAAACGTTCCGTGGACCGTCGGTCGACGCATTCGCCAGGCTTTCATTTCGGGGGCACGACTTCCTTTTAATCTTGCCGTTATTGGTGCTGCAACTGTCTACCAACAGGTACGGTAATGCGAGCCGCAATTCGATCTATATACTCTGCGGCCGCTTATACGTGCGCATGTTTGTAATGCGGTGCAGCTACTGCAGAGTCGATTGCATTCGTACAAATTGCGGAGATTTAAACGCCGTGGGACCGACCAACAGCTCGGCCATCCTGGAACATCCGTCCGATATTATCGTAGCGATCACCGCGAATAAATCTCCTCGACGATCGTCGTTCCGTTCGTCGCGCGACGCAACTCCAGACGCGATCGTTCCCACAAATACAGATGTATATCTCTGTTTTTATTCACTCGATTTATTTGGAAAAAGAAAAACGGATTGGCCCATTCGGTGATCGGAAGTACAATACATTTTCGCACAAGGCGCGTACACGTCGATACGTTGCATCGACGGCAAATTGACAGAAATCATGGCGGTCTTCTGCATCGAGTCCCGACAGAATTGCAAATTGCATTCGGTTCAGCGCGACTGATTTATCAGCGGTAAACTGATCGACATTGACTACGCGGATGGAATGCTCGATCGATAGTCCGTTCGTGGTACAAGAGAAACGGATGGTCGACGTGGCGGATTTGTTCTAAGGACGGTTGTTTGCAATTTCAAAATTATCAGTTAATGGCATCGCTAAGATGATAGGAGAAAGAAGGCGAAACGTTGTTTCTTCGCCAACGATTCTAAACTGCCGAACCGTTCTTCGTTGTTCTCCGGATAAGATCTATCGTTCGTACGAACGCTCGAGGAAAGATATTGGATTTCATTCGCTTCGTCTACGATGATGGTTGTTCGTAAGGACGCGCGGAGAACGTCGTAAAATTTTATGGCGCGACAGCGAATGCAGAGTTCGTCGCAGTCGTATTAAAATCCTTCCGACTGCGGTACCAACTGGCGATCGAAATTAAACGACCGCCAGGACGCGTTCAGGTGCGCTCTCGCCGTATCGAAGGTGCATTCCTACGTGTATCTCACGCGCTCTATTTTCCTCGCGGCTCCGCCATCGATTTTACACGAGAATACGCTTCTATTCTTCCAACACGGCTACCGACGAAGGTCGCGCTTAGCGTTTCAAGCATCGGTCCTCTCTACATCGAAATTTCTTCCTAAACTCCACTAACGGAGCAATTCCTATCCATTCCGCGTCTCGTAATCCTTTCTCTTTCTTCTCCGCTCCTTTCTCTCTGCTCTTTATCGTTACTTTTGTAGAATCCAAGTGCGACAGCAAGCGTGGAATTTGTAATCCTTTCTTCCAGGAGACGACTTTTCCAGGAGGCCACTATTCTCCGTGTACCTTTGTCTCATTTTCTACATCGAGATCTTCCAAACGGTGTAACGCAATTTTCCTAGAAGTGAACCGCGAACAAACGTGTGATTCCGAGGACACGACGATGCACGATTCCGCATACATAAAATAAATAATATTCAGCTTACCCGTAGCATGACGAAACGTCGACAGGATAAACGCGAAATTAACGCAACGCTGCGAAAACGTACACAGATCCCGTCGAAACGGCGACGGGGAGAAGACAGTTCTAGAGTCAAAGAAGGAACCGCGGCTGGCCGATGAACGAACGAACGATCTATCAACCGAAGAGGAAGTCGAAGAGCACGAAGCGCCCGCCATTCCCGAGTAAACGAAGAGCAAACTCGAAAAACCGTGCGTTTCTTTCTTCCGTTCTCGCCATCTCCCGTGTTCCTCGCGACAGTAGAAAGGAAACTTGCACGAACGCAGGCTAAGTTTTAATTAAGATTTAATCACTAATTACCTGTAATAACTATTACTGTAAGTAGAATGACACCGCGCGCGTACACGTACACGCGTGTATTTTGTGTGTGTACATACGATATTCCCCAAAATATCAGATAGACATATATACATGTACGTAGAATGCGTTATCGATTCGTCAAAGAATCGACCGATCAAACAATTTTTCTTTCTGCCTATTGCCTCGATGATCTCTCTCCCTCTGTCTATTTGCTCGGTGGTCGTTTGAAATCAATGATTTTCGCTGTGTGAACGAAAGGAACGAAGGAAAGATAGTAAGGTAAATTATTGGCCAAGAGAATTCCGTTTCCTATCCTTTCGAAACTTTCTTACAACAACAGCTTCGTAAAAGAAGTTGCCTCTACGAAAATTGCAAATGATAAAGAAAATTCTCTACTCGCAGTCTTCCAATCGGCTAAATCTGCTTTCCTTTCTTTTTTCCTGCTTTCGATCGACGACAGGCACGCCTTTTCTCCCTTTCCAACCGGACTGTTTCCATCTTAGTATCGCTGGCGCTTTGCCAACGAATCTTCTTGTCGTGTTTCTTGTCGGTATCGAGCAACTTGCTCCCACTGATACCCGAAAATAATTTGTTCTCTACCCGTTGAATCGTTTTGTGTCTTCGAACCTACGGAGCACCGCGTATTTCTACCTTACTTGCGTATTTAGAGAATTAGTCGATTACTCTGTCGTCTGTGTTTAAGAACAAGAATAAGAGAGAGAGAGAGAGAGAGGGGGGGGGAGGGAGTATTCATAGAGCAAAATCCAAAAAATTGCAAGGAAAGACGAAAGAAGAAAGACAGCGAACGAACGAAGCTTACCTACGGTAATCGGTAATTTTGTGGAGAAACGACTGGTTTCCGAGCAACCGAAATCGCGCTTATTTTGTAGCGTAAATGAATAAAATCAAAAGAGATACCTTGCTCGCCTGCTTCTACAACAATCAAATTTAGCTATTTTTCCTTTTGTCTCGAAATGGATCTCGATTTGGTTACGCTAGTTCGAGGATTAACGGCAAAGCGTGGCAAAGTCACGCGAGAGCGGTTACAGTTGAAATACGAATTTAGTTGGGTCGCGACAATGTTACTTTGGAAATTGCAGTTGGTCGAAACGCGTTTTTCATTACTTGTATAATATTATGTAAATATACCATAACGGTAATAATCGAGGAATAGCATCCCCTTTTAATCGACGACAAGCAAAGTAAAAAGAAAGAAAAAGCATAAATCTGACCCATAAGTATTCTGGATTCGCTAACTAGCAGGTTTGGAAATTATAAATCATACGAAAGTATATGCGTATATGTGTACGCGTCCACCTGGCCGCGTTAAACTCACTGCGATCGCGATTTCAATGCATTATGTATAATAACATTATACATACTATACATACGTATATATAAGTACATGCATATATAAATATATACATACGTAGCATGTATAGAAATACTTTAGAGACGGTATCGTCGTACGTTTGTATATACGTTGTCACCCGCACCTATCGCGGCTCACGAGATTGTAAAATGAAATGAAACGAAATGAAATGGGACGAAATGAAATGAAATTAGATGGGACGAAATAAAACGAAATGGAGCGAAACGAAGCGAAACGAAAAGAAACGAACAGAAGGAAACGTAAACGAGCTTGCTGAGCCTAATCGATTTAAGATCGAAGATTCGTTTAAAATATCTTGATTTCCGATTCGCGGAAGAATCGGCGCTCAAATTTCCTCGATATCCTCTCTTTCAAACGCGTTTTTACCATTCAAATAAATACAAGTCAAAGAACGTTTCCCTCTCTTCAAATTTTCAAATATACATACCTAATTGCGTCGATACGATAACATGCTCGTAAATGATAACGACTCGGTCGAACGGACGATAATTTGTTTGCAAGACACCTCGTACATATTTCGCGCCTAATATATATTTCCAAGTAAAAGCGACGTCCGTGAAATTGCAGCTCCGTTCGGGTGAACGCGCGATTTAAGAACTAAATGTATTTCATCGTTATCGAGGATTCTTCGTCACGCGGCGCTTTTCTAGTTCGAGGATGAACATTTTTCAAGGGGAACGCTTCCGCTCGAACCTCTCCATCTTTCACCTCAATTCCTTATTTCTTTCCCCTCCGTGAAAGAAAAGGAAAGAAAGCGAGATCTGGATTTCGAAAGATCCTTATTGACTAATCCGATATACAACGTACGTATGTTTGTTCGTATTGGCAATAACGAAGAGCAGTTTGATAAATTCTATAGCATAGAAACGTTCGCTCCGCCGATCTATTTTCAATGCGACCAGACGGATATTCCTATTAGCGTATATTTCTGGAAATTCTTTTCTTTGCTCTACATTCTGCTTTGTTTGAGCTACGCCAGAGGTCGCGCGATAGAGCTCGTTTCGTCGAGGAGGAGAAGAACGCTTTAGCATAGAGTGGAACAAGTAATCGCGATCACGATGCCGCAAATAGGTAACAGAGATAGATAAAATAGTTCGACGAGACCAGAACGATAACAAAAATACGTAGAATTTGCCAATGAAGGAATGAATACGCAATCTCTGCTCGCGATGATTCCTTCTGCAACTTTTGCCTATTATTATACACGATATCATCGAACACGGTGGAGAATGATCGAGAGGTAGTGTAATTGATTCCAATAGCCGGCAGAAGTTCCAGAGTGATTTATTACAAGTCCGTACAAAGGACTCTAAACGATCTTCTATCGCGGTGCCAGGCGCCGGGTGCATTCGAGTCAAAGAATATAATAGAAAAAAAGAAGAAGAAAAAGTACATAAAAAGGAACGGAAAAATAACGAATTGCTATCAGATATATAATACTTTTCTCATTCGTTGAATCGGAAAAAATCGTGTGAAGCAACGGCGGAACGCTCGGAGAAAATTTTTAAAAATGATAATTATCGCGATAACGGTTCGAGTTTTCGCGCAACTAACTGTGACTCTATGTATGTAATTTAATGTATAATAATCGCAAAATACGCGACGCCGGTCCTCCGTATTCTAAAATGACGATTCGTTGCTCGAGATCAACATGAGCGCAAAATGCGAAGAATAATTCTCAACGATAATAAACTTGTGTAAATATCATACAGCCCAAGTACGTGTATATAGCTGGCTAAAAAAAAATATGTTAATCGTGTCGGTACAAGAAATTATTGTTAGAGGCGATTGGAACAGGAAAATATTTACGTGTACACAAGTCAAATATAGGGAAAGAATTCGCGCGTTTCTAGATATGCTATACACTGTACACTGTACGATATTGTAACGTAATTTAGAAAAGAAGCGAAGAGAAACCATAAATACTGATGTTTTTATACGAATCAAAGAGGGGTAGAGGAGGACCGACGGATATCGAGGAAAACAACGGAGAGACTATTTTAGCGGAAAAAACCTTGTTTTATCTTTCTTCCTTTATCGAATCAAAAGAAATCTTACTTCTGTCAATGGGATTCACAGCGAGTCGCTGAAAAAGTAGCCCGCAGGCCTAAATACGCTCTAATTAATTACAAAAAAAAAAAACAAAAACTAAGTAATTACCATAGCCGAATAGTTGATCAAATTCAATACGACATTTTCGAGTTGCATCGTCGTGTTTTCTCGTTAATCGTCATATTGGATTACGATCATTAACGCAATCGGCCAACAAAGGGTCGCGTTTGTCCGATGCATTTTCCTGATTACGCAACGTTCGCCACGAGATCATTTGTTCCCTTTTGATTTTACCAACGAAATTCTTTGATTCGATCCAAATTAACGACAATTTTAGACGCAAATGGATTTTCTCTAATCGACGAAACTTTCATAAATTTCGATTTCGAAAGCATTACGTTTACAATAAACTATCTTTAAACCTCCATTGATCGGAATTAATATCAAATCGATGACAATATTTTCGACAGCGTTTCGTAAATATAGAAATCGATGTCGAATCGAAAAATGCATCGGACATCGCACACGCAAAGATAGTGCAAACTAAAAACATCTAACAATTTACCATACGGCAAACCGACTACCTAGTATAATCTATACGTATAAATATATAAATATAAAACATAATGATTATTCATTAAATACTATTATTGATTATTGATTATTTGTTAAATACTATTATTGATTACTGGTCATTAGTTATTAATTGTCATTATTATTATTATTATTATTATTATCATTATTATTATTATTATTATTATTATTATTATTATTATTATTATTATCGTCATCGTTATCATCGCCGTCGTCATCCTCATCATCATCATCAGCAACGGCAACAACAGCATCATCAACATCATCAGCATCAGCATCAGCATGATCATCATCATCATTATTATTATCACTATCATCGCCATCATTATCGTTGTCATTATTGTCATTATCATCATTGTTATTATTCAATAGTTACGTACATACTATACGAACAATAAAAATTTACTGCTTGTATATATTAAGAATATCTTAATAAAAATAATGTGCGAATGATAGTCAATTAAATTTCGTTGACCATATATCCTTTTATCAAAAAACTGATGATGTATATTAAACATCAAAGTATGTCGCTTTTTAACTTTACTATAAAATTTTACTATTTTCTATCCTTCGTTAATTGTTCCTTAATAAACAAATAAATAATTCGTTAGTAAACAGATTCATTGACGGGTAAATTGACGTAAATAATAAACGTTTATTTCAGATTCTATGTACAAATAATATACTACAATGAAAAATCTGAATGAAATCCCATGTTGCAAATCACCTTATCATCGCAAGTAATGTGTATTAGGTACAGTATTTAACAAATTTTTCTAGCATGAAATAGTTAAACGTTGTATAATATTTATTATACAATAATATAATATATTACAAACTATGTTTTAAAAGCACCAGCTTGAGCAGCTTTAATTATGAAAGTTTTCATCGTATTTTCATCTAATTTAGCAAAACTTGCTGTTTGTACTACGGCAGTCATGTGGTTTAGCGCAAATTTGAAACAGTATTCCTCCGATTCCTAGAATTATATTAAAATTAATGGCATTGACTTTGTTTAAATAAAGCCACAAAATTTTATTTACCTTAGCATTGTACTCAATAGCTATACTGTAGCAAAAAGCAGCGTTTTCAACGGTAATTCCTCTCCTTATTATTTGTATGCAGCGTTTTTTCAGTTGATTTTCCGAATGAGCAACTGCCAGTTTCAAAAGTTCTTATCCACAAAAACCAGAAATAATTTTCAAACCACATTATAAAGTCTCAGGGAAAAAATAATGAAATACATACCTAGCATACTTTCCAGAGGTAAATCGATTTCGTCAGTATACAAATACTTCAAAAAAGCTTTGTATACATCGTAAGAAAATTTTTGTTGTTTTATAACACTACAACGAATGAATGTAACATTTAAGGAATCTAGATACTCGTTAAAACAACAAACCTACCTCTGATTATTTGCGGTCAATGTTTCTTGAAACATCGTTCGGAAATATTGAGAACGTATTACTAAAATAGCTTTGTGCACATAAATAAATTTTTTTCGTACTTGTATCACGAGATCACTCGTAGTCTACAAATGACAAAGAGAACAGTTTCAAGAAAATAACGATGTCAGAAATGATATTTCTTTACTATATAAATACATACCTGATCGTTAAATGCTTCTCTGAAACAATCTATTAAATTCACGTCTGGTTCTTCGTCATGAAGAACAAGTGGTTGATGCATAACTCTAGGTGATGCATAACGCGCGAAAACGTCATGTAAGGATCCTAAAGTAGTGAGTACCGGAAATGTGATACTTTGTCCCAAACACTCGCCCCACATAAATATCCGATTACCTTCTGCCATAGCTATGCTTATGTGATTGTAATGTGAAGTTGCTACATCCAATACTCTTCTCATCGCTTCTTGTTTCAACTGAAGAAACTTTTATTAATTTTCATTCATTAATGTAATCATATTGCATTTTACCTGTACTGGGCTACAGATATTCATCTTCATGCCAAGCCCTAACTGTCCATAATTATTTCCGCCCCAGACATACAATGCTCCTTTGTTACTCAATGCCAAAACATGTGCATAACCACAAACTATTTTTTCTATCGATGCAAAACATATTACTAGTATTCAAAAAATGTTCGGCATAGATATATTCTAAACAAAGATGATATTACCAATTACAACACCAGCAAGCATTGTGACTTTACAGGGATCCACTTGATTAACATAGTTTCCAATTCCTAATTGACCAACATCGTTACAACCCCAACCATAAACTTTTCCAGTATCTGTAACTGTCATGCTCGATGACTGACCACAGCTAATACAAATGACTGTTTTGCCAGCTAATGAGGAATTCACTTTCATAGGGGTATTTTCATTTATGTTAACACTTTTACCTACTTGGCCAGATGTATTTTCACCCCATGCATACACCTAAATAGATATATATACAATTTATTATAAATTATATATATATAATTAATATATAATATATAATAATTATATAATTTATTATAAATTATTAATAAATTATATATATATAATAAATTATTATATATATATATAATCTTTGATCATTATTAAAAAAAACTTTAAGTTCCTATTTAACCTTTCCTTCGTTTGTTAATGCAAGAGAGTGATGACTCCCGCAAGCTATATCGACAATGAATTCATCACTTAAATTTCTTGTTACAAGCATTGGAATCATATTATTGGCAAAACAGTTTCCTAGTTCACCGTGACTGTTATGTCCCCATGAATATACCTTTCATAAAAATCATGTCATTAAATAATACAACATTAAACTGTTTATTAATATTGTAATAAAGCCTTAAATTCCAAATACCTTTCCTTCCTCGGTAAGAGCCAAGACATGTGGACCTTTACCATATGCAAAAGTTTTTATATCCTTACCACATAATGCTTCGACTTTCTTTGGATAAAAAGTATTACAATCATCCCCAGTTCCAAGACACCCAGAAGTGTTACTTCCTAGAGCATATACTATTTTATCCCTTGTTATAATTAAAGCTTCATTACCTAAATCACCTATTTAATGAAACATAATATTTCATAAATTCATATACGTATATTGTTCTTATGTAATAATAAGATATAAAATACGTAACAAGAATAAAAATAAAGGTGGAAAAAATAGACATTTTACCATATACAAGTGCCATATGAATTTTTGAAACATGATTCGAGTCTAAGAAACTAAAAATTGGCCAATTCTTCAAATCCCAAAGAAACATCTTTATATATATATATATATATATATGTATGTATGTATATATATATATCCTAAATTTCTAAAAACAAACTGATTTCAATATAATTTTAATAATAATTTCAATATAATTTTAATTTTATTTAGTAGTTCCAGTGTTTAATCTTCTAACTTTCATTAGGCATTTCTTTACTTAATCATTTATGAGTACTACAATTTTTTCTCATTCGTTTTTATGAATTAAATGTAGTATACTCTTCTTTAAATTCTGCACTATGAATAATTCTAAAATATAAACAATCTATATAAAGTATGATATGGTAAATATTAACTGATATTAACAATGATAAATAAACTCTTCCACTAACATGTGTATTCATATTTTATATTTCAATAGTTTGTCAATCTTGTTAAATAAATTTGTAAACAATATCATTAAACACTATTGTATAGTCTGTTCAATGAGACGAAGCAGTAATTGTAAACAAAATGTGATTACTGCTATTGGCTGTTTACTAGTGACATTCGAATATTCACCATAATCCCTATCATCCCTCCTCTCGATCCATCATTGTTTAAGGTTATGGTTTTACCCCGCACTGTTCCGGAAAAATCTTCCTGACACGAATTTACCTATATAATTTGACATATAAATAAGACCCCTCCTCTGATAGAAGCAATCACCACGATGAAGAATAATAAAATATAAAAATGTTATGTCACATTCTAAAAAGCTTGTTAGGTACATAATTAATGAGAACTTAATTATTTAGATTATAGTATCAAATAGAAATATTACAATACAAGTCACAAGCAAATTTTAAATCTTATAAAATAAGATTAAAAAATTTATATATAATTTTTATAAGATTTATATACAAAAAACTTATATACATATGTATGCATTTTCACACTCCCCCCCCCCTCCTTAAGAATGGTTCCTGAATCCGTCACTACTTTCAGTTCAATCAGAAAGATCTTTGATTCAACTATAGCTATGGAAGATAATTTATCTTAAAGATCTAAAAATAAATTATAATAAAGTAACTAGTACCAGTAAGGTTCATTATTCTGATGATAGTTTACTCACTTTCACATCTTAATAGAATTTTGAATAAATTCTTAATAAGATAAAAAAAGATGCAGAAGTAAATTACAAAAGAAGAACAATTATAAAAGATGTCATATCGTGAATTTTATTAAAATCTTAAAATACAAAGTAAATTCTTATGCTTATCATAAATAATCTGTCACGATTCTAAAAATGCAGTAATCCAGAACAAATGTTCTGCAATTAAGAAACTATACATTTATACAAAATTTACATATTATTAAAAATATTAATAACTCTAAGAAATATAAATATTTGGAAGTAATATCTGCTTGATCTTAAAGCATAACAATACGAATTATTTATATAATATTGTTTCCTTTGTGTGATAAACACTTCGAACTAAGTTTTAAAAATACCCGCTTGAGCAGCTTTAACTATGAAAGTTTTCATTATATTCTCATCTAGTTTCGCAAAATCCTCTGTCTGTACTACTGCAGTCATGTGATTTAAGGCAAATTTAAAACAATATTCTTCTAATTCCTATAAATTTATAATGTATCAAATATTTTAATTGTGTTTTGTATTAAAAAAATAAGTAAGAGATATTATTTACCTTAGCATTGTATTGAATAGATATGCTGTATAGATAAGCGACATTTGTAACTGTAATCTTTTTATTTATCATTTGTATACAATGTCGTTTTAACTGATTTTCAGAATAAACATTAGCTAAATCTAAAAGTTCTATGTAAAAAAAGATATTATTTATAAAACGATTATTTAAAAGATATTATTTATATAAGATAAAAGATATTATTTATAAAAGATATTATTAGACACTCTCTTTCTATGAAAAATAAAAAAATATTTACCTAATGCATTTTCTTGTGATAACTCAACTTCATTAGTATATAAGTATTTCAAGAAAGTTTTGTATACGTCATAGGAAAATTGTTCATGCTCTATAATACTACAATGCGTAATTATATTAGTGAAAATATAAATGTGCAAGTTGGAAAAATTGTTTTACCTTTGACTATTTTCTACCCAATGCTCTTGAAACATTGTTCTGAAGTAATGGCAGCGTATCTTCAAAACAGCTTTGTGTACATGAATAGGTTTTCCATGTACTTGAATTACAAGATCGCTAGTGGTCTTTAACATGCAGCAAGAGATGGTATAAAAATATGATAAAATCAGCAAACATGTTATTGTTTATAAAAAAATACATACTGGATCATCAAAGGCATTTTTTAGACTATCTGCTATATTTGCTTCTGCATCACTGTGAAAAATAAGTGGCTGATGCATGACAGGTGGAAACGCATAATATGCAAGAGCATCATACAAACATTTTAGTGGAGTGAGTGTTGGAACTTTAATACTCTGACCTAGACACTGACCCCACATAAATATCCGATTGCCTTCACTCATAGCCAGACTTATGTGATGATAATGTGAAGTTACTATGTCTAATATTCTTCCCATTTCGGGTACTTCCAGCTACAGAAATATTCATTAGTTTCAACTTAATAGTACGTACACAAAGTAAATTTTTACCTTTGTTGGTATCCAAACATTTGAGTCTGTATTAAGACCTAGTTGCCCATAACTGTTAGCTCCCCAAACATAAAGAACACCTTCATCACTCAATGCTAAAGTATGCATGTAACCGCAAACTACTTTTTCTGTGTATTCAAACACATATAATTAACAATATTTCAATATTCATATATTCATAAAAACGATCAATATTACCTATTACTATTTTTGCAAATGTGGCTACTTTTTGAGGCTCTACTTGACTAGTACAATTTCCAAGTCCTAGTTGACCAACACCATTATGACCCCAACTATAAACTTCTCCACTATCCGTAACTGCTACACTGGATGAGTCTCCACAACTAATGTGAACAACTTTCTTGCCATTTAATCCAACATTCAGCAATTTTGGTATAGGTTGAACTGTACTAAGGATAGTACCACAACCTACTTGTCCAGATACATTGTGACCCCATGCATATATCTAAAATAGATGTATCAATTTTGCGTTTGATTTGCTCTGATTAAATATTTTCATTTTACCTCTCCTTTATTCGTTAGTGCAAGAGAATGATGACCTCCACAGGCTATATCAACAACAAATTTATCATCCAATACTGACGGTACAAGTGTTGGAGTTAGACCTTCGTTGGTAGATTTGTTTCCTAATTCGCAATAATCATTATAACCCCATGAATATACCTTTCACATAAATTATATTATTAAATTAAATAATGTAATATTATACTACATACTAATGATGTAATAAAATTATCTTTTCAAACACCTTTCCTTCCTCAGTAAGAGCCAAGACATGTGGACCTTTGCCGTATGCAAAAGTTTTTACGCTTTTACCACACAATGCCTCAATTTTCTTTGGATAAATAGTGCTTTGAGTATCACCTGTTCCAAGGCATCCATAGGTATTGTTTCCTATACCATACACCATATCATCCTTAGTTACAAGTAATGTTTCATTAGCTGCCTTACCTGTTTAAGCAAAATAATGAACAAAATCTTTTTTTGCCATACGTATTATATTATACAAATACAATATTATACAAAAAAATAATCTGATACAAAAAACAAATATTACCATATACAATAGCCATACGGACATTCGATATAAATTTTGGTTCTAATAAACTAAATATTGACCAATTCTTCAAGTCATGATACATACTTATATTCATATTTACTTTTTTAATACGATGTAAAGATACTATTAATGTAATTCGATGAAATTATAACGTATTTAAATTTCAATTTTTATCACTGCTTATCAATCAAACACTGTATATTTTTTTAATTTTATAAGACAGTGTGTTTAAATATACTAAACGAAGAATTGTCATAAAATCTGTATTAAATTGATTTCATTTAAATCTTGTAGTGATATACTAAAAGTTGTCTAAAATTTTCGGACTATATACACATGTTTATAACTAAACAAACAAAAAACAAAAGAAAAGTTTCTAACCGTCTTTCATATAAACAAAGATAATGTACATAGTACATATCACGTCAGTGTGAGTCAGTGTGATACTCTATAACTGATACTGTAATTTCAGCATCATATCCAGTTTTTTATTTCGACCATTACTAGTAGCATAATTTTATTTTTTGCTACATCGGTAATATTGAAAGTACAATAAAAATAGATTCCTCAAATTCTATGACAGAAAAATGTATAATAGCAAATTTTGTCAAATGAATCTTTTTACATATTAGTATATATAATTTACAAAATTAAATGAGTATAATAAATTTGTATAAAGAATCATAAAAGAGTATCAAATTATAGGGCGGGTTTTAAATCATGACATTGTTCTCTTTCTTATTTTTAATAATTCTTTCACAATATTTTATTAAAGCTTGAGTCTAACCACAGATAAATAGTTTGCAGGTTCTTTTACCGTTTCAATATTACTTGCAATGTTACCAATCTAATCTAATACCAATATAAGATTAAAACTTATAACATTGGTAGGTGACTGATAGCGATTATAACTAAAATGAAATGTTATTATCTGCTACTATGTAATTACAAATAGAGATAGAATTTCTTATAATCATAAACAAAGCATAAAATTCTATACTTCTACAATATGTATACATATTTATACAGATTGCTATTATACAAGTGAATAAATAATAAGTAGCTTATTGAAGTCACAAAATGTGGCTTAACCAGTAGCTTTATTGAAATAAAGCAGCACTCTACTACGTCAGAAATTACTAAGCAATTGTAATGGCGTAAGCTTTATTTGGGGTAAACATTTACGGAACCATTAAACAGTATCAGTATTAATATCTGATATGAAAGACTAAATCTAAAATACAAAAGATTATAGTTATAATAACAAAAGAGTTTATTATATTGTATGGTTGATTGAAAATTATGAGTTGTGTCCAAATGTGTGTTTTTACAGTAAGCAGTGTTTACATTGTCAATCATATATTTTTAAGGAATAACTTTTTATTCATCTCATATGGAATATACTGACCAAGATACTTTAAAAATGAATGAAAGCGACTCGATTTATGGAACTACCTTGTCCCAAGAATCAATAAAAGTAATTGCAGAAAGTATAGGTGTCGGAAATTTTCCAGATGAAGCTGCAAAAGATCTTGCGGAGGATGTAAGTTATAGACTTAAAGAAATCATACAGGTTTGTATATCTCCAAATTATAATGCAATTATAAATAATTCCTATTCCTTACATTAAAGTTGTATAATTGAGATTACTAATGTTGATAAAGGATGCTGCTAAATTTATGAGACATGGCAAACGTCAACGAATGACAACACACGATATAGATCATGCTTTGAAGATAAAAAATATTGAACCCACATATGGGTTTTTTGCCAAAGATCATGTACCATTTCGCTTTGCTTCTGGTGGTGGTCGTGAATTACATTTTGTAGAAGAAAAAGAAATTGACCTTAATGAAGTTATATCAATGTCTGGTGGACAAACATGGCCTAAATTACCTTTGGAAATTACACTACGTGCTCATTGGCTTTGCATAGATGGTGTTCAGCCTACAATACCAGAAAATCCACCTCCAGTTTCTAAAGGTATTAATTCGATAGCATAAAACTTTCTTTTTTGTAATATTATGTTAATTAAAAGTAATATCTATTAATTAATCAATAATATAATAGATATTCAAAAGCTAGAAAGTGTTGATCCAACAAGTAAACTTACAAACAAAAGTCAGAACATTGGTGTTGGGAAACCAGGCGGTGGTGGTAAAAGTCAGAAATTACGTAATGTGGAAACAGTTCATGTCAAACAATTAGCCACTCATGAATTGAGCGTTGAACAGCAATTATATTATAAAGAAATTACTGAAGCATGTGTTGGATCTGATGAAGCACGCAGAGCAGAAGCACTACAGTCCCTCTCAGCTGATCCAGGTTTACATGAAATGTTAGCACGGATGTGCACTTTTATTGCAGAAGGTGTACGTGTTAATGTAGTACAAAACCACCTTGCTCTTCTAATTTATCTAATGAGAATGGTTAAAGCTCTCTTGGACAATCCCAGCCTTTATTTAGAAAAATATGTATGTATTAATTAATATATAAAAGGAAAGGGGAGAGTGTGCGTATACATGCACGTGTGCATTAATACTCATTAATCTTATATTTTATAGTTACATGAATTAATACCATCTATCGCAACATGTATAGTTTCACGCCAATTGTGTATGAGACCAGAAGTGGATAATCATTGGGCACTTCGCGATTTTGCATCACGCCTTATGGCTCAAATTTGCAAAAATTTTAATACTTCTACCAATAATGTACAAACTAGAGTAACTAGAATGTTTAGTCAGGCTTTAGCAAAAAATAGCCAGGTATAATTGTAAGACTACCATATACTAAAGCAATAATAGCAGAAATAGAAGCACAATAACAATGATAATAATGGTAATGGTAATAATAATAATAATTTATAATAATGACAACAAATTTTTCAGACTCCGCTGGCGTCACTTTATGGAGCAATTGAGGGACTCTGTGAGTTAGGTCCAGAAGTAATTAAAGCGTTAGTTATTCCTAAAATTAAATCTGTTTCCGAACGTATTGAATCATGTATTGAAGGACCAGGTCTATCAAGTGTAGACAAAAATGGAGCAGGTCATATAAAGACCCTACTAGTGGTGAATATAATTTCTTATTAGTATAAATTTTATTGTATTTATATGTATTTTTCCTAGCTATTTTTACTAATATGTAAGTATACTATATAAAGCCTAACAGAAAACTATACAATGGAATTTACAGAAATCGGTGGCTCCCATTTTAAAGACTATACGATCTCCTCCAGATTATGTAGAAGATTACAAACAGGATTATGGTTATATAGGTCCTGCATTGTGCGCAGCCGTTGCGAAAGCTCGTACACAACCAGCAACATTAACAACAACTGCATCCACAACCACAGTTTTAACAACAAGTCAACAAGGTCCTACATGTACTGGAAAAACCATTGTACAAGCTGGTAATATCGTTTCTACTAACATGAAGTTAGACGAGTATTTTTACTTCAGATATCTTCATTTTTTATTTAGTGACAAGCTCTAGTCCCGGGCAACAAACTGGACGTACAATTATGCTTGGAACAAGTAGAACTGCTGGTGGAACAGCTACAACTGGAGGACAAAAATTCGTTATTTTGCAGTCTCGATCTCAAACACCAACCACTACAAATATTAACACTAATGCGATACAACAACAACCTCAGCAGCAGCAACAACAACAATCGCAACAACAACAAGTTAAACTAGGCCAAACCAATGTCACCCAACAAAAAGCACATATACAAAGTAATGCACCGAAATTGGTTGTTGTTTGTATGTCCAGTAGTAGTCACGGCACTAGTACAGTAACTCAGGTGTGTGTAACATATTGCGGTAAAAATCATAAAATATAATTAATTGGATTATTAATTATGAAAATTATTTGCAACAGGGGAATATAACAGCAAAAGCACAGAACGTCTTTGTTACACAACAAAATGTTGAATGTTCATTGAGTCCAGAAGAAGAACATTCTTTTCAGTAATAATGGCAAAATTCGTTTCATTCATTCAATTTCTAGTAATTTGTACAAAAATTAATTTTTAATGTTAATATACTTTGTAAGGAAATAAAAATTTTTTATGGACATGAAAATGATATATAAATATATTTATTTTTATCAAAAACAAAAAATATACGAAATTACACATATTAAAAAATTGAAAATGTATATTTAAACGAACTTCATTATTCAAAGCGTCATCGAAAGTGAAAGTAATTAATCTTAATTATTTATTTACTATCTTAATTATATAATTCATAATCAATTTATAATCAATAAATACAATTTATAATTATAATAAACAGATTGCACATATAAATTGGTATATATGTATATACTTGTATATATATAAATATAAAATAAATATGTTTGTATGATAATGTGCCTGTTTCATATATAATGCAATTATAATCTGATCTATGTAGATTAAGTTAAACTTAAACGTATTTCTTAGTCAATAAATGTATATGTTACCAAAGCTATATACATATATAGGCAATTTAGAACTATATTACTCTGTGGAAGGAGTATTTTTCCCCTCTTAGCGTATTCCCCTCAAGTGAAACGATTTATTCGAATGCATCTACATGTGAACAAATCGTAAATTTATATAGTCCTAATATTCGTATCATAATCATTGTTTGTAATATTGAGTTTTTGTATATTTATTTGATGTTGACTGTTATGAAAAAAAGTGATAAGCGTGCACTGTTAAGAAGACATTTATTTCATACGTACGACGCAATAATGATCAATGTATAAAACTAGATGCACAGAGAAAATAAAAGTACCCACGCCATATTTGTTTTTGAAGGAATTTGCTTTATGTTTAATTTACGAAATAGAGTCAAAATGTTGGTTAGAAAACAAGTAGAAATACATACATCGATTTAATCTTTAAAGGATAAAATGTATGTTTTATATAAAATTATGAAATATGAAATATGTTGATATTACAAATAGAGCAATTTTTTATACCTTTAAGATTTTGGTTGTAAGAATATAATTTGTTAAAAAATAACATAAGTGAGAAAGCAGTTTGTAATTAACTGTTTATATATGCAGTACACATATTTTTATTCATTGCCTGTTATAAAATGGCTACAAATGATGCTTTAATGACCTTTCTTGCAAACACTGTTCAAGAAAATGAAAAGATATTACAGGAGTCATGTCTCAAAAGTCAAGTAAGTACTGCATGAGAAAGCTTATATGCTAAGAATATTATTAACTGGTAATTAATAATAGTATCAATTATTCTTCAGATAAATATTAAACATAAGAAAGATTATGACAAGTTGTTTATCAGACTTAATTACATCTGTCAAATGAAAGCAACCAAAGACGGAGTGCAGTTAAATTCTTGGTGTAAAAAAAATGTAAGCCTCACTTGACATTATCCTTGGTACATGGTCATCTTATATAAATCTTATAGTTTTTTTATAATATTTTATGTCAGGTTATAAGTTATATATATGGACCTATCTCAGGATTTCCATCTGGTTCATGGTGGGGTATCCGTATGGATTGTTCTAGAGATCGTGTTCATGACCCCTTCGATGAAAATATTCAAAATGGACCATTTGGAGTTACTTCAATTTGTACTTCAAATATTAACCTAAATGAAGATGTAGATTTGGGTAATTCTCTTACTCTTACAGGACAAAAGTATTCTGTTGGTACATTAGAAAAAGATCCGCTTATTAAAAATTATGAAAATCAAGTACCAGTGAGATTAATTAGAAGCTATAATTTATTCAATGACTTTGCACCTAAAACAGGTTATAGATATGATGGTTTGTACATTGTAACAAACTTTTGGATAGGTGTAAATACAGATTCTATAAAATATTATAAATTTGCTTTGTCACGTTTAAACGATCAAGAGCCACCTTCGTGGAGTACCAAACTGGCTCCTTTGGCTATAAGTAATCATCTATCTACTTTACATTCTTCTTCTACACCTTTACAAAACTGCTTAAAAAATTCTGCTCCAAACATGTATGAATTTAAAAAATATTCACATGGTTCTGAATTTATAATTCAAAAAGGGAAACATGAAAACTCAGATGGATTTTTACAAACTCAAAATATTGAAAACAAAAAGGTAGATGAAACAAAGAAAGGTGTAATTGAAAGTGCAATAGTGACTCGCCATGTATTTAAAAAGTTAAATACTAATACAGAGTGTACAATAAATATACCAAACATGCCTATTATGCCAGAAAACAAATCATTAACTCATATTGGGAACAAAGGATCTAAAACCCATAATACAAATATTTCTATACGTACAGGATTATATAATTCATCTCACAGCACACAAAACGATAGTAAGAAAAATACTTCATCACTATTTTGTAGAACGGTTAAAGCAATTAATATTGTAAAAACTAATCAACACATAGAAAGTTGGAATTTATCCAACAAAGATAAAAATAAAAATCTAGATGGTAAAGCTCAAACAATCATATCAAACGAATTTCCTAAGCGTGTTGATTATATTTCTCTTAACTCTGTAAAACCAGAATTAATGAAAATAAAATTTCCTAAAGATGTCGATGCAGAAATAAACAGCGATACAAATGATACAAGTTCAAATTCTTGTTATAGACTTGAATGCAATAGTAGACATAAAGAAATAACTAATGATTCCAAAGACGTGTGTAACAATATCGTAAATTCATCCAATACAACAACTAATATGTTGAACATGACAAACTGTATGTATAAAAATGAAATTTCACCACATAAAATGATATCCAAAGAATTACAGCAATTCAAATCAATTGATTTATTGCCACCAGATAAAATTGTTCATTTGATTAACAGCAAAAACCATCCTTTATCAAAATTATTAATGGGTAATATGATAGGGTTAACGTCAGAACAATCTGTAGCATTACAAACAGAAGACGTAATAACAACCAAGCCAGAAATCAAAGATAAGGTAGTAACTCGAAATAGAGAAGGTAAAGAAGAAATGAAAGAAAGGACTAAATTTGAAGTTATTTCAGATGATTTAAATGGATCAAGATGTTACAAATTTAGAAGACGCAGAAAACTGTCTAGAAAAACAACAAATAAGTCAGAGATGCTAAAATATAATAAAATACATAATGAAAAGTTTAAAAAAGAAACTGTACAGTCTTTAGATATCTTAGAATATCCTGGAAAAAGTAGAGAGAAAACGGATATTTGCAAGAGTTTAAAAAATAAAAGTATAAAAAAAAAAACAGTACAAAAGAGAGAACTGTCAGATTCAACAAGATATATTAAGAAGAATGCTGGAAGTACAATAGGAGCAAGAATACATTTACAAGCTGTGAGAAAAATTGATTCTTCAATAAAGAAACATATAAATAAAAAAAAAATAAGAGAAATTACAAATTTATTAATAGATGCAAAAATTGGACCTAAAATACGTGGTCCACGATATAGAAGATTGCGTTGTATTAACAAATGTACAGAACAATCATGTGAACATTTTAATACTGCAATGTATACATTGAACAAATGTAAAGTTAATTCAGAACAATCTACTTTCCAAGATAGAAATAAACTTACAAAAATGACTCACTGTAAACGCGTTAAAAGTCAAACTAGGAATGTTAAAATGTCAAAAACATTAAATTTTAATCATAGTAAAATTGGTAAGAATCTCACTACGTCTAAAAAAGCAGATAAGAATTATATTGCAAAACCGGCTATAAATAATAATAACAATAATTTGAAAAATAATGACAATGATAACGTTGATAATAATGAGAGAGATCAGAATAAAAGATCAAGATATATAAAAAAAAATGTGAAAATTGTAGAAAATAACGATACAACGATTAAAAATCGGAAAAGAAAACTGATGCAAACAATTTGCAGAGATTCAAAATGCAATAAAATTAATGAAGAATTGCAAAAGAGCTATAAAAAAGAAATTTCAAAACCATGTAAAACAGATGCTGTTACTCAATGTTCTCTCCTTCAAGAACCTGCAATAAAGAATCTGAAATTGAACGATTTCGTGCAAAATAACGTTCGTAATGAACAATATACATTTATTAAAATAGAATACGGTAGTGATTTTAAAGATATGAAATCTGAAATATATGAAAATACAAAGTTAGGTGATAAAAATAGAGGCCATCATTCTACATTTCTATCATCTACAAAAAAATGTGTATCTTGTACAGAAACTGCATCTAATTTACAGCATCCCATAAATTCAAATGTATCGTTAAGTAGCAATACTTTGAGTGCAAAAGAACAAAATAAATTTTCACCTGAAAGGGTATCTGCATTTGTACCTGTTAACATCCCGGATAATGATCTAAAAATTGCTCGTTTAAGGTCAATAGGATTTAAACCAATTGATTTTAGTAATAGCGATGAAGGTATTAACAGTCAAGATAAAAGAAACAAAGTACTAAAACAAAACGTTACCGAAAAATACAATAAATACACAAATGAGGAAAACGATATTGTCGTTTATATGGATGATGAATTACAATATCAAGATATTGAGGATGAGGACAAAAATTCTTCATCTACCAGAGATAAAACTTTGAATTCAAAAATGTATACTGAACAATTAAATAAAATGATTTTAGAAAAAGAACCATACAATTCACTATTAGAACAAGATCTAGAATCACCATGGCATGGGTGGAAAAAGATTGTAACAAATAAAGATACATATTGGATAGGTTGGTAAATAGATTGTAACAAATATTGTACTATTGTATTTACACACACGTATGTGTGCAGATTTTCTGCCAAAATAAGGCTGTAAAATGTTAAGTTATTTTTTCCACTAATAGCTGTAATATTTGATGCTATTAATGCAATTTATGCAATATACTTTTTGTAAGGCAATTAGATACAATCTTTTATTCAACTATATATTTAAATTAGTCCAATTATTTTCATTGTGTTTTTGTGATCAATGAATCAGTAGTAAAAACTAAAACTAATATAAACAATACTAATTGTATGAAATGATTTATTTTGACAAATGAATTGTAATGTTATTCTGTGGAGCAGAATAGTATGTCCTCTCCATAAAAATTCATATATACACAATTTACTCTCTTGTATAGAAAATAAAGTTCAATTAAGATTTCGATTAATGTTTGTTTTCATTTTCTAAAATACCTAAGAAAATACGACGTATGATAGGTATTAAATATGAAATACTTATGTATATAAAATCAGTAAGATAAATATCAACAATAAGTAGTCAATAATTATATGCAAATAAAACAAATATATCGAAGGAATATTCTTTAATTTTTAAATTATTAAATACATTCTATTTTAACGATATATACACTCATTAATTTTTTAATCTAGGACGCAAAGATTTTTGTGGCTCAGTTTTATATATATACATATATAGAAATATATGAATATTTATAATATATATATGTATATATATATATATGTATATATATCCCGGACGCGTGCAGTAATTAGAAGTATTTTTCTTAGTGTATTTTATAAAATAAGTATTTTTCACTGGCAAAATTACATTAATCTCATATGAATTAGAAATACTGATGTATAAACATATACATAGTGTTTTTGTTCAAAGTGTAAAAATATTGTTTGACTACAGTAAATAATGCAGCAACATATTTGTGAGTATTTAAATATTAAGTACTGTACAATGCTTTTCTCTGAAAAACGTAAGTTGTGTTTTAAAATAAAGATGATTATGTTATGATAATAGAGCCACCTCTATAGGTAACACTGCTTTAAACATGTTCAGCATATTAAAATAAATATCTTCTATGCTATGTTTACATGATGTAACATAATACATGTATTAACATGAATGTAACATGGAACTATTATATTGTGATGCAGAATTTTGCATCACCGAATTTGTTTGTTTATTTGTTGTTTGTTCTGTGAGCGAGTTAAGTTCCTACCTAATGACGTATAATCAATTAACGGTATACATAGCGTTTTCTTGAAATTAGATTCACGGAAGTCCAACATTAATGTTCCTTTTTGTCTCTTTCTCTTTTGTTTTATTTTGTACACAATCTATTGTTTATATCTACTGGAACTCATCATCACTGCTCAATAGCATTGTTTTCTCATTATAATTTTGAGAGATTGTAGCAACACGTTGATGAGAAGTATGCCGTCTTTGAGGCGGTGGTATTGGCATATTCTGTGGATCATCTGGATCGAAGCTGGATATCCGCATACCACGTTGTCCTTTAGGAGCTCCTGATTGTTACATTATATCACGTATTATCGTTGACAAAGCCGTTACTAATGAATACATCGATCAGCCAGCGAACAGCGAGAAATCATGCCGATATATTTTTTTTAATTCAAAGCATTGTTGGCTATATCGATTGTAGGCTATGTACAGTTTTACATGTAATTTGATGAAATCCTTTTACACATAGCACAATTTACAGCATCTTTCTTTATTTTATTGATCTCACTACACATATTATACGTTTATTAAATAATTCATGCGTGTTATAACAATAAAGATTTGAATTTGTTGTTTGAGAAAATTATCAAACATACATATTTAAGGAAAAAAATATATAAAAATAGATAGCTATATCAACATGCTAAATTAAATATAAATCATGCCATCTTTTTAAATATACAAGCATTACAAAACAATATTTAATAATCATTAACCTATCCATAAAAAGATACATAATTACAATACTGCCATAGAATAGTAGTCAATTATTATTTGTCTTTTGCATTTATTAAAAAGTAAAACGTTTTTGTGAAATTACACTGTACTCTAAGTGCTCTTGCGTTAAGTGCTTAGTTTCTAATGTACAGTAGATTTTATTAATTGCAAAGTTAATGAATCATATGCTTATATATGTATATGTGTATGTATATTGATTTTGTTATAAACCTTAAATAATAATTTGAGCAGAGAACACTATGCCCACCCTCGAACTTGATTTGAACTTAAAATATCAAATTAATTTTAATGAACTACAGTATTAAGAACTTTTCAAACTCTATTAAAAATGTATGAATGCCTCATGTCCAATTTCTTGAAATTAAAAAACGATGCTTCACATTCTCATAGTTTTTCATACGGCAAGTTGGTATTAACGTCTGAAAAATAGTAAAAAGAAAGTGCCTTCAAAGAATATAATCCTAATTGGCACACGTTAATTGAATTTATGATAAAAAGTATTTTTTATCATAAAGAACTATTTCATTACATTTTTGTCGCAAAAGATAAATATAAATGAATTTATATTATTTTACCATTTTAATAATTGGCAGTAGAGTACATTAAAAGATGCATATTAAACCTTTATCATATAAAAAGCTAAAATCCATAGTTAAAGGAACATAATAATTACAATTATAGTTATTTATTTACTTAACATTTTTTAATGATTGTAATTCTTCTCTTTGCATTTAAAACTTAAATGATAAATATAAATAAACAATAAATATGGATGATTTTTAGTTCATCATTCGCTACATCATGCTACATGAAAATGTATCAATTGAATAAAGTAATAAAAGAAATTTAAAATACAATATTTATAAAAAAATTTTAACAGGAATAAATTATAAATTATATACATACCAGAACTATATTGCGTGTATTGTTGATACTGTGGATGGAAGTTGTGGATGGCATCAGTCATTATATCTTTTGGATTCATGGTTTCCTATGTATAAAGTTAATTGTATAATATTAAAATATTGTCAATCTTATTACTTTACCTATTAAATCATTTAGAAATTGGTGCAACATACTTTTAAACTGCTACTGATACTTTGCATCGTTACACTTCTTCCTCTTGAATCCGTAACACAACCAGCTGAATACACTTGATATGGAAACGCATAACGTAAAGCTATAGCAGCAAATAACATTTCAATGCAAATCAAAAAGTTTTGATAACCAGCAGAAACTGTGCCAGCACTAGTTGATTGATCTAAACTTATAGGAGAAATTACATTTGCTTTTTCAAGAATAGCCAATAATACCCCTGAAAGGTAATAAAATTAATATTCTTTACATATACAGACCGTATCTTAAGTAATTTGATATATTACCTTGCCAAAATGAGAGGAAGATAACACTTTTAACAGTACAAAATTTTAAGACAGGTTCAAATGGTGTTAACAGGTCTCTTGTAGCAAAATAAAAGAGAAAAAGTCCATAAAGTGCGAGAGATACACTGATATTATAAATTATAGTTATATAAATATAGCCTCCATCTGGGGACCAATCTCCATCTCTATAATGACCAAATGCTTGAAGGAATATAATGACAAATGCCATTACTGGTTTTACCAAGCAAAATTGCAAAGTAGCTTGTTTGCAAAATCTAAGAAAACCAATTGTATATGTTTTTCCAACCAAACAGCATGTTCCATATAAACAATTAGAACGAATAGGTTTGCCACGTATTTCAGACATAATATTTCCTTCACCACCCAGGTACTCGTAGCATAGAGACAAGAAGTTATATATAACAAATGCTTCATAACAGTCCCGTACAGTAAAAAAGTAAACATAATAACTTTCACTGTTGAAAAATAGTAGAGACACCCAAGAATATGTTGCATAAATTGGAACTATAAACAGAATTCTCACTATCCATCTTTGTTCTGTTGGATTAGTATACCACCTTAAATGCTGGTAGATCTACAAATCCACAATTAAATCAAATTAGTTGTTTATATTTCCTTAATTAACTATAATGCTATGTCAAAAATATGTTACAAAGTACCTGTTGACAAGTTATGAATAATGCAACCCAAACAAATGCACCAGCAATACCTTGAGCTGCTCGTGTTTGTAAGAATATTGGAGCTGCTTTCTCAGGAATTGCAGTTGTAGACATCATATCGCCAAGAGATGTAGATGGTTCCGTTGTCACCGTACTACTCATATTTCAATCTGAGAAAAATTAGTGTTGCAAACAACAATACTAAGAATTTAATATAATTGAAGAAAAAGAAAGATAATTGTAGCTACGAAGAACATTCATTTTAATCACAATTACAATTGAAAAATTAAGAAAAAGCGCCTTTTTGTAACACAGAATAAATCTCAAGATTATGGCTCGCGCGTTAAAAATCAATATGCACAACAATAACAACAGTACTCCATTCGTGCGCAAAAATTCATCTCGTGGACGCACCCGTGCTCCATTCGTAGGTTTTTTCAAACAAATGTAGTATACGAACGAACTATCTTGTCGTACGTGTTCTCCTTTTTCTTTCGTATTGCGTGTACGTGTTGACCTGTATGATCAAGCTTCTTAGAAGTTCCCCACTTTCAATTAACCATCTACCAACGCAGTGGTTACTGATGATCGTGACCTTCCCACAGACAACGTGAATAATCTACCAAATTTTCTTCCCTTCACACTATATAATTTCTCCAGTTTGAGTTTGGATCACCGAGTTTCACTTTTACCCAACATTTTCTCGCATTTCTTTCCGTTTCCTCTTTGACGTCAAACACATTCGTCCAAACAGCTTCACGAAATATACTAGTTGATAATAAAAATATAACTGGTCTTGCTACTACGCCATATATTCTTCTTTTTTCCACCCGTTAATTTTCCCTTTGGTTCTCTTTGTTTCACTCTCACAAACGATCTCTTTTTACCTTCTCCTTCATGCTAAATCCCCTCCATCATTTTCTTTAATTATCGTTATAAACGCATGCGCCAATCCGTGGTTATGTTACATTCTTGTTCTTGATAAATTGTTCGACTAGGTAAATTGTAATACTTTTTCAAAACTCAATTTGCTTACTAAGGCATTCCTGTTTACCCAGATATTAAACAGTTGCTAATGTAAAGGAAGGTTTCTTTTCTTTTGATGCTTCACCATCAACAATTGCAAAATATATTATTATGTGCAGATAACACTGCAATAACATACAAGAAATTTATGTGGATGTCACTATTCAAATAATATTTTAACGTAGTTTTATTTTTCATACATTAGACTTATATACAAATTCACGAAAATGGCACTCATTTATATCGAAGACAACGATCCCTGGTAAGAATAATTAACCTTGGTTTCTTTGTTTACTTCTGAGATGAAAACTGTTACTTAAGTGTTTGTTTAAATTACATAGGTTAACGGAATATGATGCCTGTGAGAAACTTTACAGAGAGATTATGGAACAATTTACAGCTCGCAATAAACATTCAAAAACTTTGCAAGCATATGCAAGTATATCTGCAAATATACGAATTCGTCTGAAACAGTATAATCGTGAAGTCCAACAACTTAAGAACAAAGTGGATGATGCTTTGAAATCTAAAGCTATGTATCCTTTTACATGTTCATTTGATTAAGAAGTAAGACCTACCAGCATAGAAATTTTTTCCTTAAAATACAAAGATATGCAGAACTGCTGAAGAAGCAGAAAGAAGAATACGTCAAATTGAAATATTGAAGAGCAGGGATGTACAATTACAAAAATTGTGTGACGCACGTACAAATAATCTTGTATCTTCTCGTGCAAATTTACTTACATCAGGAACATCAGCTTTTGCAGATGGAGGCACAACCTCTTGGGCAGCTGATGACGACGATGATAAACCTATAGATACACAAATATGTGTTGTTGATCTTATGACTCAACAAGATAGGATTCTAGAAGGTATAAATTTTGATATCTTTTACCAGATTTGTATAATACTTTTCCAATACTTTTATAGAGCAAAATAAAGGCTTGGAAGAGTTATGTAAAGTCATTGCAAGGCAAAAACAAATTGGTCAAACCATTAGCAATGAAGTGGATCACCAAAATGGTAACTTAAATTTAATATTACTTATTCTTTATCAATTTGAAGATATAAAATTTACTTTAAAACTTTTATATTTTTATGTAGAAATAATCGATAATTTATCCAATCATATGGATAGGACTGATGAATCATTAATTACCAAAACGCAGCACGTACAAACAATTAATTTCAAAGATCGTACATGTGGTTACTGGATAGTAATAATTTTACTTTTTATTTGTATCGTCATAGTTGCTTTACTTCCATAATTTTTAATGCATTCAATTACTGTATGAAAACTGTTAGGTATTTCGTTTAATGTAAATTAATGTTCTGTATATATGCATATGTAAAAATTCCGTTCTTAGAAGTTACTACATTTTATTTTCTTAATTATCTATTAATTTTAGACCAGTATTTGTATTATAAGAATTATATTATACTTATAAGCAATATATATATATATATATAATACAACTTAAAACAAATATTTGTGTTTGTGATAAAAACCTGACATATTATATCGCAATATTATATCGTTATATTAATATTACACTGAAATCAACTTTTCTAATAGAAAACAAATTTTTTCATTATCTATCTTTATACAAATTACATTTTGTTGCTTAAGTTATTTCAAGTTTCCTTGGGTCGTATTAGTAATTTCTGACATACTACATTTTGTATCCAATCTAAGGTTTTTCAGAAGTGCTTTTGGACTGGGATCTCTTCCACTAAATTTTCTGAAATTCTCACGTGCAGAATAAGTACCACCAACAGATAAAAATGATTCGCGATATCTTCGACCGAGTTCCTTCAATGATTCTTTATTCTTATACGAGACATCTTGAAAAGCACTATACAAATCAGCAGCAATCATTTTTGACCAAACATGACTGAAATTATAAAATTTTTATTTTTTCAATACTACAGTAGAACATATGTATATTCTAATATTTACAAAATCTTACCTGTAATAAGCAGCTGCCCATTGTCCACTAAAGATAGCATCAAAAGAACAAACATGGCTGTCCTTCTTATATGGAGGAAGTACAAAATATTTTTTCCATAAGCGGTTCATTATGCTATTCCAATATTCTTTGCTACAAATTTTAGAGGAAATCATAAAACATATTACTATATTTATTATTCAAATAACATTTATATATATTTATAGTATCCAATCTTACCCAGAATATAATTCTAAATCAAGTTCTGACAAATACAGTTCTTTACATAAATTGTAACCAGATAAATGCGTCTTTGAATCCCTTACTTTTTCAACTATATTAAGAGGTAATGGTTCTTCAGTAACTTGATGACATGAAATTCTTTGCACAAATGATGGTTCATATAACCTAATAAGCAAATAAAACATTAAACAATATATGTAGTTGTAAATTATAAAGAATATGAAGATTTTAAATCTACCAATTCTCAAGAAGATAGTCAGAAATAAATAGTGCATCCCATTCTACAAACGAAAGTCCTGCAATATGTGTGTATTCCACCTTTGTTAATATATGATGTAATGCATGTCCAAACTAAATGACAAAGAATAATATTAAGAGAAATAAGTACCTTAAACTTTATTTTTATATGCATAAAATTTACCTGCCGAAATAACGTTTGAAGGTCTTTAAATGAAAGTAAAGAAGGTTTCTCACCCATGGGTGGTGCGAAATTGAATATTAATGCAACTAATGGTTTTATGCCACATATTTTACTTCTGTTTTGTATTTCTACTGTATATCCTGCATTCTGTGACACTCGGACTTTCTCATCTCCTCTTGCATATGGATCTAAATAAAAACTACCTACTGGATCAGTACTTGAATGTTTTAAATCAAAGACATCAAAAAATCGAACATCTTTATGCCAGAGATCTAGCTTCTTGGATTCAATAATCTTTACATCAAATAACGTTTCAATAAGTTCAAATAAGCCACATAATACTTTCGGTAGAGGAAAATAATTATTTAAATCCTCTTCCTTGTACCTGTAAATGATATTGCAATGATATATATTTATATTCTTTTTTATTACAAAGTGTTTCTGAATTTTATTTTATAATTACATGTACACAGAATGTAGTTGTTTTCTACCCCAATATGCTATGTCCCAATGTTGAAGTGCACCATCTAAACCTTTTTCATTTGCAAATGCTTGAAGTTCTTTAATTTCATGTTCTTGAGCAGGTCGAGCTTTTATAGACAAAGCAAATCAATAATACTAGTCATATATAATACTACATACTCGATGCAAATGTAGTTATACAAATTTTACCTGTGGCTAGTAAATTACCCAATACATAGTGAATATTTTGTACACTGCCTGCCATCTTAGTTTCCATACTTAAATCAGTAAATGACTTGTATCCCAATAAATCAGCCTCTTGATTTCTTTTCTGTCTAATTTCTTCTAATGTTGTACTTGTTTGTATCGATCTATCATGTAATAAAGATGCTTTGATAACATTCGCATCCCAAACTCTCCATCTTAAAGCACGATCATGGCAATGTTCTAAACAATATACATTAGAAAAAATTAATCTTTAATTTCATTATATTTGGTTAATTTACAACATTAAAGATAAATTTTATTATGATCAATAAACTTTCAATTTTATAGATAGATTTATACCCATAAATGGTTCCACGATATCAGGAGTTAAAATTACTATCCATGGTCCTGCAAGGAACTGTGTAGGATTTACTGCCATAGATTTTAGTAGGTCTTCAGGAAAATCTCTTATAATATTAGGATCTCTTATAGTAAAAGTAAGATTATTTATGGCTGCCTATGAAGATAAAACAGTATTAATATTTCTTTAACTTATATTTGCACATTTCGTTATTTACCTGCACTTTTTGTGAATATTTTTTAATTTTTTCAGACAACCATATTTTCAATGCTGCAAATTGTTCTTTTTTCTTCTCAGACAATTCTAATCCATTTAATCTCCCTTCCAATATATATCTTGCTAAAATTCTTTTCTGTTCAACATTTAATTCACTTTCATTATTATTCAAGACATTTTTACATGCTTGATATATTGGTACATTAATGTATTTAAAAGCGGAAGCTCGTTTAGCACGTTCACTAATGCTTATATAATATTGTGTAGGCATTAAACTTTGATTTCCTAAATATAATGTCTTTGCAATGCCCCATGTAATATTCAAAGAAGCATCTATCTCCTCTATAGGGTTTAATATGTTTTTAAATAAATTTTCTGGAGAAATACTGTTAACATCTGTAAATCAATTTTACAAAACATAAGTGTTTTCAATAAACTTAAATTAAAAGATTATAACATAAGTAAAATAAAAGAATTACTTTCTATTTGTTTCCCTAAGGTTTTAACTGTTTCTTCAAATTCTAATGATTGCCTTCCAATAACAGCAACACATTTTTCTATTGTAATATTTGTAAATTCCGGACTTTTATCTTCTTTTAGTAAAGGATATTTTCCTGGTAAATCTTCTCCGATTTCTGGGACACTAAATAGAAATATGATTAATCATTAAAACCATTAATATGTTGTGCAAAGAAAATTATACAGAATATTTACATACAAAACTTATTAAGTATTAAGTTGAGAATAAAATTATGTAATTTTTATTTCGAATAAAATAATTACAGTATACATACAGAATCAAATAACCATTACGTCTTGGAATTTTTAAAAAACTATTTTGTGATAGAATAATTCTTTTGCCACAAAATGAAGCCATTTTAATATTTCTTAAAAACATTATGTTTTACAACTTTTTAAATTACATCTTCAATTAAAAACCAGTCTTTTTGGTTACAAACGACGCTTTGTACTATTTAATTCCTAT